TATGTACCAAAATGTAAAGGAACTTTTTGGAATAGACACGGCATGTATTAAGGCATACACATATTTTGGAATATACAAGGCATAAAGATGCAAGTGCAAGAAGCCTGGGTAACAACAAATGTTCTGTAAAAATTCAGCAGTTCCATGTAAGAAATGTCTTTTCAGTCAGAACCAAAGCAACAGCACACTTTATTTGGCAAGAGCAAACACTTGCTTCCTTCTGCATGCAAAATAAAGAGATTTCTATAGACATGCAGAGAAGAGCACCAGTAACCTAGCTTTTTGGCAAGAAACGGCATCAGTATGATTACTAAGTACCCTCCACAAGGTTGGGATGAGAGGTGGTGAGCCAGATGGCAGCCACAGGAAGAGCAACCTTTGCCATGCCAGCTGAGAGAACAGATAAAACCTGACAGCAGTGCTCCTCTTTAGGTAGCTGAAACAGAATGCACAGAAAATGTTAGCAATCTATTTAGCTGGGATCGATATCTGAATAGCAATTCAAGGGTAGCAAGTGGCTAAAAAGCCATTGCAAACTCTTTAGTAATTTCCTCTAAATGGTTCAGCAGTGGACAGAGCGTGTCTTGAATTTAGTGCTACAAGTCCACACAGCATTGCTATGGGAAAGCAACACTTGGAAACAGAGCTCACTGGACAGAATAGACAGATTTTGATGGCACATCTCTTTGATGCTTTTTATGCATCCTTTAAAATGTACTTAAATTCTTTTGTCTGCTTTTAAGGTCACGTAAGTTTAGCCTGCACTGCTAGAAACTTACTTTCCTTGAGCAACATCAATCTCATCATTCCAGAAAGTTTCTAATGGAAGGATTATTTTAGTAAGTGGAACTCACAGAAAAGTTTAAATAACCCAATTGCAACTTTTCTGAAACAGTATCAGACCTTTCTCAGCATAGCAAATTAGCAAATGCACAAGAATTATCTGGATTATCGCATGACTTTTCAAGCATATGCACCTCTGGAAATGAAATGACAGGATGTCCTCATTGCCTATCTTTTGTACATAAATATAATGTTGTTGCAATAACAACTTCCCAGACAGGAAGTCAAGAAAGCAAAACGTTAAGACTAATTCAGCGAAACATTTCATCATGGGCATAAATTCATCCCCACTCAGCAAAGTTTTAAAGCATATCATTAACTTGGAACACATGTTTTATTAACTTCAGCAAGATTCTGGATAAGAGACGGAAGCACACACTTAAATGCTTTGCAGAACTGGGTCTTATGAAAGAACAAGCCAAAGGAAACCAAACCACAAACTCCCCATTTCAGAATTGCACTCTTCATGCATTAAGATGCACACATTCCACAGAAGCAAAGGTTATCCATCAACAGCAAAACTCACATGAGAGATCAAGACCTTGTCAGCTCAGATACTCACTGGAAGAATATACTCTAGCTTTATATGTAAGCCATGCTCTCTGACAGGCAGTAGAGACCTGCGCAAGGCCACAGATAATGTGGTGTAAAGAAATAAGATTAATTTAAAAAAAAAAAAACAGAAAAGGTTTGAGCCACTCCATCATTTCAGATGTATACTTTCTCTTAAGAAAGTAAGCACTCTGGAAAGATACTAATACAGAGATTAAATGCTGCTTTTACAAATTATTCTAATGTATCTTTAACACCATCACATACTCAAGAGCATCAACTTGATGTTTTCAAAGTACAATGGCTAAAAGCTACCACTGACATAAAAGGTCATTTTCACTGCAAGCACTAGAGTCCTACCAGGGCAGAGTTTGGCCCACTACAGCTACTGTGTGTGGCAACATCCACACACTTGTGTTCACAGCAGTTGTGAACTTCTCTGTTAATATTTGTGCTTTCAAACTTCACTAATGATTGGAAGAAAGATAACAAAAGCCATTTAACAATGAAACAAAAACCAATTGAACACTATAAACCCTTGCTCCCCCACCCTGCAAACAATCATCTAGTTTAACTCCAATAGCTAGTGGTTTATTTTATGGTACAGACTCTGCCTATTGGGGTGGTTTGTTGTTGGGGTTTTTTTGGGGATGGGGGGAAACCACACAGAAGAGCAGTGACCAAGATTGATAGTTAAAGAAAAGGAGAATTACAGTTATTCCTCAAACAGACAGCAAGAATATGGGCAGGGCTACAGGAAAATCATAAGCACAATAATAATAAAATATACATATATGTATATATGGCATGCTTTCTGTCATTTTCACTGAGCTTTGCAATTTCCAGATGTCATCAAACACAGAAGATAACTTCGGGGAAAAAAATATAATTCATAATTTTGACCTACACCTTTATGCACTGTGTAATACCACTTCTGAATCACTGGAGACAACTAAGGCCCAAATAAGTGACAAATGCTCCATCACCGGCAGTGTTCAAGGCCAAGTTGGGCAAAGCCTTGGGTGACATGGTCTAGTGTGAGGTGTCCCTGCCCATGGCAAGGGGGTGGAACTAGATGATCTTAACATCCTTTCCAACTCTAACTATTCTATGATTCTATAGCTAACACGCCTCCAACACTACAGTGTCTTTCTCTGTCTGGACCCTATGCCAAGAGAACAGAAACAAAAAGAACCTAAACAAGACCAAACAACAAACCACAAAACCAGAAATGCACCAAGAGGTAACTTTCAAACACAGAAATCAAAACAAGGACTTGTTAAACAAGTGGTCTATTGGGGTTGTCTTTTTTCTTACATTAAAGCATTACAAGTAGCTCTAATGTTGATACGCATGTTTTCAGAGCAACTGGTGCAATATGTCACCCTAAGGTGTAATCGTAATTATTATGCTTCTAAAGAGACAGAAGTATTGTGTGCCAAGCTTCCATGCCAGTATCTCTTCAAAGCTACTTGTTAAGTCATTTTGACAATAACAGCTTATCTCTACTTGGTCATGGCATGCTATCCACAAGGCTTCTTATTTATTTCTTTAAAGAGAGTTGTTAATGTAGGCAAACTTTACAGTCTCTGCAGTATCTTCCCACAAAAGGGAAGGCTCACATGTATCCTGGGCAGTTTCTTGGCATTTTTTGCCTAATGGTCCAGCTCTAAATTAGCTATGTACTTCAGGTGCACCCACCACCCTTGGCCTATAAGGCTAGACCAGAACAAAGGTTCTACTTGCGTTCCCCATGACAAAACGGGAATAAATTACTCCTTGCTCCTGTCATTCCAGCAAGCCAGTTAATTGCATTTGTTTCATATATCTCCAAACAGCCTGGTACATTAATTACATTCTGTAACACCAAGCTCCTCTGATTCACTCTGTCACTTCCACTGAGCACTTTAATTGTATTCCTTCTAGCTACATACAATTTTAAACACTTACTAATAATTACATACATTGCTACAGCTTGATGTTTTCAGTTTGTATATAAAGATATCTTTGACCCCAGTGGTCTTCAGGTTAAGGATCAAGATATGTTAAAGTGGGGAAAAATAAAATGACAGAAAACGAAATTCCTGCAAAACTATGACCGTATGACTCTAGACACAAATGCTCCATTATAACCTTTCACAGTTAAAACTTCCTACTGTTTAGCATGTGCATATATTGCACAGAAATTTTCTTGTCAGTAGACCAAACTGAACATTAAACTGCATCACATATTATGCAACCAATGTAAAACTGTACTTGAATGTCTCCCTGATCCCCTCTATTTTGCCTCCTTTCTTGCTAAGGGGTGGGGAAGATGAGAGGAGGGGGAGAAATACCCAAAGCAGCTTGCGACTGCAAACAATAAACCTGGAGTCCTTGCTTCAGGACTGATAGAGCAAATGCTGTAAGCAGCTTCCTGGAACGAAGTTTGCTCAAACAGACAGGCAAAACCAGCCAGGGGCCCAGACACTGAATTCATCTAACGCCTAAACGACTATTTAGAGATGCAAATACTCAATGTTAGGAGGACTGCCGAGCATTTGGTCCCAGCACACACCCGTGTACAACTGTAAACTGTTACAGATGCTCCCTCCCTAGATGAGCGCTTGAACTACTGTAATGCCTCTAACGTCTACGCTGCAGCACAGCGCCAACCACTACTTTGAAAGCCAATTTACCTTTGCGCTCAAGTTCTCGCCCTACTAAAGCGCGCTTCCCCAAGATGCTAATTTATAGTCCCACACCCATTACTTCAAGCGGAAAACGGCAAGAAGCGTCGTAGAACAGACCCAAAGCGGGGAGCGCAGTGGGAGGGTGCAGGTGGGGAGTGCGAGAAAAAGAAAATAGCAATAAATCTCCCCCTTTTCCTCCCAACGCTGCTTAAACTCCACGAGAACACTCCCCTCGGGAAGCCCGAACAGGGGGATATAGGAGGGAGATGACGGGAGCACTCTCCCGCCAGACCCACCCCCAAGCGGAGCCCCCTTGGGGCGGGCGGGCATCGCCGCACCTGCCCTCGCCGGCTCGGCTGGGCCCCGCGGGGGGAGAGGAAGGAGAGAGCGGTGTGGTCGGTGCTGAGCAGTCCCTGGTGCTGCCCGCCCTGCCTCGCTCGCCAGCGCCAAAGGAGGCGTTGAGGGACTCTGGAAATGGGCCAGCACGCCTCACCTGGAGCCGAGGCAGAGCTAACCTATTTATCTCATCAGCTGGCTCTCCCGGCGGAAAGTTTAACAATAGAAGGAGGCAAAGTAGAACCAGCTACAGCAGCGCTCTGCTTTTTCTCTCTCCTCCCCACTTCCTCCCACCACCACCACCCCGAAGTGAAAAGATTTAGCGCTGTAGTTTTTCCTCTTTCCTCACTACCTCAAGCTGACATCCTTCTAGTCACAAGCTGCTTTTCCATTAAGTTCGCAGACGGGAAGGACTGCTTATTGGAAACATGTATTTCCCCACACACACACCTCCCCATACCATTTTTATACCAGAAACAAACTTAAGGCTCTGTAACGTTAAAGCTTATAATGCCGTCCACATGTGCTGTCCCAAATCAGAGCCAGATGAAGGGGATTTCTGCACAGAAACGGCATCTCTAAAATAAGGGAACTTACCATAGACTTGGAAAAATGCAAATCCAAAGAGCAGGAGTGGCGTCAGCAGACCCATTTTGACATATTAAAGGCAATCCCGATCGCTTGCGAGACCAATTCCAGAGAAATACGAAAAAAAAAAAAAAAAAAAAAAAAAAAGGAAAGAAAAAGTATCCAAAGCCAGTAAGAGGTAGGTCCAAAAGTTTTCAGTTTCCTAGCAGCTACTTAAAGTGGAAAGGGAAATCTTGAAATCAAAAGCTGCAGATGAAAAGGTCTTGAATGTGACACTTTTAGATCCATACAGATTAGAGCAGCGAGTGAGCTCCGGAGGCAGATTCTGCTTTGCACACACACGCTCCTTCCTAAATTCCCACCAATCCAGCCCCAGCAGAGGAATTACTCAAGTGTGTCTAAGACTCTCTTTAGGATCCATGGCAATCCAAAAGCGAGCTCTTTCTTCGGAAGACAAGGAAAGACTCTGAGAAAGGACCTGATTCCTAGAACGTGCTCCACAAACTTCCCAGCACTTTGCAGGAAAATCATTGGTTTGGTTTGGTTTGGCTAATTTTGCGTTCCTCTTGCCCTCCCCCTACCCCTTTCTCTACCAAATCAGTTCAAGCTGCGGAGTTTCTCACTTAACTTCCATAATAGGAACGCCTAGGCAATGTGCTACGGGAGGGGAACGGCTTCCTCAGCATCCCCTCGAAACAAACCCCTGTCCCCTACACCTCCTCACTTAAGCCCAGAGCGAAAACTGCTGGAGGACAGGCGGGAGCGGCGGCGGGCTGCTTGCCCTGCAGATGTGGCGGCCGGGAGTGCGGGGCCTCCCGCCGCCAAGGCAGCACCGGCACCGGCGGCAGCAGCAGCTCTCCCGGGCGGCCCCGGCAGCCCGGCTCCGTTCTCCTCCTCTCTCCCCTCCCGCTGCCTCCGCCTCCTGCCGCCGCGGACACACCGGCTGCAGGGAGAGGGAGGGAGGAGAATGAGCGCGGCTGCCTGGGGTAGGGAGGCTGCGGGGTGTGGACTAGAGCGCGGCGCTCCACACCCCCGAGTCCCTGTCTGCCGGGGCAGGGCGGCGGGACGGGGAACGGGGCTGGCTGAGGGCACGGCCCTGCCCCCCTGCCGCTCCTCCGCTGCTGGGCATAGGTAGGATTTACATGGTTGCTCCCCGCCGCTTCCCGGTTAATGGGCAGCTAATTTTTCGGTAAGTGGTTTCATGGAACTGGGCTCTAATTATTCATTCCCTCTCTCCGCTCATACCCTGCGCGCTTGGGAGCGAGACCCTTGGAAGGGACTTCTCCAGGGATTTCTTTGCTCATCCGCTGTGCGGAAAAAGAAGGTGAAAATAATTATATGTATATATATAATATATATAAAATAGAATGGATGACACGCGACCTGTTAAGTCTATAGGACTGGGGGTTTGCTCAGCAGGGAGCCAAGAACGAGCCGCCTGCCTGCCCTTCCCCAGGCCCCTTGGCTGCGGCGCAGCTCCCGGCAGCGGGAAAGTTTCCCGGGACCGTCCGCGACCCCCGCAGGGGTTGGTGAGGGAGAAGGGAACGAAGACCAGTCCCTATAGGCACGGCAGGGCTGCCCAGCGGCCACAGAGAAAGCCAGGAACACGCAGGAAGGAGCAGCGCGGAACGAAACGGGTGTCAGAACGGGGCAGGGGGTGACCGGGCAGCGCCAAGCCGAGAGCGGGAGGGGCCCGCTGCGGTCCCGAGGTGCCGGTTAGGAGCGGACAGGCGGGAGCGCTGCATGGTGAAGCTTGAGCGCCCCCTACTGTCAGTGGGCGGGCAGCGGCCGCCACCTGGTGCTCGGCGTTGCCTTTTGTTGCGGCGCGGCGCGGCGCGGCGGGGCTGGGCTGGGGGGGCGGTGGCGGGGAGGCGGTGATGGGGGCCCCTCGGGGTTCGCGCTCTCCCCCATCGGCTCTGGCGTTGACCCCGGGGAGCCCCGGTGGACCAGGCGGTGCGGAAAGAGCGAGAGTTGACATGGGAGCGGCTGGAAGCCCGGGGCCGCCGAGGAGCGCGGAGCGGTTGCAGGGGGCGATGGCTCTTTTCTCCACCAGAGAACCCGAAACAAGTGGTGCTACGCATAAATGTTCCCTGTTCACACGCGTTGTTAGCACATGTAGCTAGGTGGTTTTCTCTAGTTCGTAGAGGGACACTGAAATTGAGGATCGGTTTTAACATGATGATGCTAGATAAAAATTAACTGGCGAATGCGCTGTCAGCAGTGCTTTAATTCTATACAGCATCAGTTCCCTAAGTAATTTCAGTATACTCTATCAGAGGCACGTTTTGATCACAGAATCAGGTTGGAAAAGGCCTTAAAGGTGATCAATTCCAACCTCTACCCCAGGACTGCCAAGTCCACCACTAACCCATGTCACAAAAGACACTTAGACTGTGTATGAACACTTCCAGGGATGGTGGTTCTACCACTGCCCTGGGCAGCCTGTTCACTAGCATGAGTAGGGCTGTTTAAACAGAACAGACTTCCCTTCTTCAGTGTTGGCCAACTAGTCCCAAGTATTCTCCCACTGAGTCTCTCCTTTTTATTTTACATATACTACAGATTTATTCCTTTAATAAGTTCTTCACGCAAATGCTGTGAATCCTGTTTCTGCAAAGTGTGCACTGCCCACACGTACTCAAATAAACAGTCTGCAAGTTATTTCTTACTTGGTTCCTGCATGTAATTAGTGACCTATATTTTACCATTGCCAAATGTGACAGTGTGAGGTGTCTGCAGGCTTTTTAAGTGTCTGAGATTATTGCTACTCCGAATAAAAGCCAGATGACAACTCCAAAGCCTCTTTATGCAAATCAGTAAACGGTGTTCGCCTATACTCACAATAATGCCCTGCAGATAAATATATATGTGAACACATCTAAAGACTACCTTGTGAAGAAGGCTATAATTAAGGCTAATTAGGATAAGGTGATCAAAATGGTATTCTTTGTCAGTGTGCTCGTGAATTGGCAAAACAAGAAACCCATAAATCACCTACCTGACAGCAGTATGTGTAACACACATGAAATATTAAAGAATATTTTCTTTTGTAGTGGACATTTGAAGGACACAGTGAAGTTGCTGACTTGCTTATTACAAAGTTTTAAATGGGAAGTAGCTGTGCACTGTACAGTATTTTTTTCTGCTTCCCAAATCAAGATAAATTTAATAAGAGCTGCTCCTGAACACTTTGGAGATATATACAAGTCCCCAAAACACTCAGGTACCTGTAAAAGGGTATAATGACCCACATAAACACTCTCAGTGAAATCAATGGCTTATTCATTACAGCCACTACTGTTTGATTCATTCACTTCCCCACAAAACTGCTTTTCAACTATTAAACAATTTGCAAAACTCTGAAGTTTCAGCCAAATTTAATCAAGCATTTTCAAGCCTGATTTCTTGCCCATACATATTTCAGTGATTTTTGATAAGAATGAAGAGTCCTCCAGAATGGCTAGCAGAGTCAGAGAGCACTGGAAAACTGGTTTTTGTATTGGCACTGTTTGCCCAAATTCAGAAAATTTGGCTAGTATATTAAAAAAAATAACAGAATAATAAAAAAATGGTTAAAAAAGGAAAAGCTAATCTAGCAGTCTGATGGAGCATTGGAGTAGAGGTTCATGTGTTAACAGCTTCCAAGCACAGGACCTCTCACAGCTCAGAGTCACTGGTCTATAAGCAGAGTTTGCTTGGAACAACATTTACTTCCATTACAAGATGCAGTCCAGATCCTAGAATAAAAAAAAAACACGATGTCTCTCCAGTCTTTCAATAACTGCCTGTGAACATGGCCAACAAGACAGATGTTCTTTGCTTGAATAGCAAAGTCTGTACAGAGGAACTGAGTGTGCCAACTATTTGTTTGGCTATGAGCAATATGCCACCTGATGAAATGCTTGTGTGAGCAGGATGAGGAAAAGACACGTCAGTATTGGTGCACATAAAGCTTCAGTTCAAAGAGTATTGTCGAGGTGGGACTTCAGAGCAGCAAAAAGGCACGGTAAGATTGCCCTGATTCATACTAAGGTCAGCAATCAAATGAGGCAGGACTAATTTGGTAAAACAGCAGTGAGATCAGATGTATGCCAGTGGTACAAGTCAAGGTTTCATTGCTTTCCCAGTCTGATATTTCAGATCTTTGATTTCTAGACTCAAACACCTGCATTAAAATATATATTTAGTATGTGAAAGATCAGATCCAGTGTTTAAAGTGTGAGTGTTCTAAGATTCACTCTCTATTCAGGTGAGCTTCACCATTCACAGCATTTTTCTTCTAAATCTATATTACTGTTTCTGGTGTTACAAATGTATATAACATACTCTATTTCCTAGGTGCCATTAAAACCTCTTGTTATTTTCTCAAGAGGAGAGGTTGAGTTGAGGTAGATCATGCAGTATTTATTCTGGATGCTGCAGCTACACAACCAGGGAGTTGCTGAAAGTGACTAGAGGATCTTTAATATCCAAAAATATATACATGGTGTGATGGCCATATAGTTTAAATGTAGGCAACTGATTAAAGTATTTAAGTTAGGAGCCTGGTCTACACTCTGGAGTAGAGCAAAAGGTGGATCCAGAGGATAAGTCAGAACATGTAATGGTAGACAGCCTTGGAAACACACAAAAAAAGGGGAAAAAGAAAAGTGAGCTTGGACTTTTCCCAGTGAACATTTTCTTGCCTTCTTCTGTGCTATACTGTTCCAGGTCATTGGGTTCTGATGTCATCTGGCTATTGAATAGAATAGAATGTATATGTTTTAAGCCTTATAAATGCTGAAGCATGATTATTATTCCTGCTGCAATCGACAGGGTCTTCCACAGGAAGATTGGACCCTGAAAGATAAACCAGGAATTCAGTCCAGGAAAAGAAGACATGTTGCTAGAAACAGCGTAAGCACTGTGGCAAGATCTCTCCCATGGAAGTCCCTGAAAATCAGGTTTTTTGCTGTCCCTGGCTGCCGCAATTCCAACTAATTTACTTTCCTAGAACCACTTGTGTGGATTACGAAAAATAAAGAAGATAGGTGCCAAACGCATGTGTTTCTTTCTCTGTCTCACACGTGTCTCTTATTTGCAGCACAGAGGGTCACCTTCTGCTTCAACATTAAAAATACCTGAGTTGTGGCATCTGACTCGAGTGTGCCTTTGGAAATACCAATCTCTATTTTGAAATATCCTTACATTGCTAAACTGTGTTAGTATGCCTGCACTATTTTTAATTACTAGTACAACTACAGTGCTTCCCACAGTTATCAGAATGTCTATACTGTTTGTAAGCTAAATATTTGGTAAATTAAATTATTGCAATTTTTTTTTTATAGATCATATGCTCAGTTTAGGCTTTGCATCCACAGCTCATTAAATGTGCAAAAACTGGTAACTGAAAGATGGTATTTTCTTGACAATTTTTAAAACAGCCTCACCTGAAATACATTCTACTTGATTCCTTTTAACAGAGATTCAGAGGAGGCAATAAGGACAATTACTTATGAGAGATACAGTGTTACCACATAAAGAGTTTTTAGAACCTACTTTCCTTTTGTTCTAAAGATGTACTTTTACCACCCATAAGAAAAAAGAGTGCCTTTCACACTTTGCAGCTTGGTCAAAAAAAATCAAGAAAGCAGAGGAGTATTTCTTAGTTAAAAAAGAAACTTGAAAATGGATTATACATAAAACCAGGGTCAGATTTCTCCTTTCTGGGAGCAAAAGGGGGAGGTGAAAGGAAGCTTCTAGTTGAGGGAAAAGAATTGGTAAGTTTACTGCTGCATTTTCCTGCTGAATGTATGTACACCGTCCTTTAAGATACCTGCAGCAAAGCAGGTGCAACGAGACTCCCTTCAGAGGTGGACAAGGATGGGACAAGAGGGAACAGACACCAGTTGCAATGTGGGAGGGTTCTAAGTAGATGTCAAGGAGCAGTTTTTTACCCTGAAGGCAGTCAACTAGGTCTGACTGGATTCACTGTCACTAGAGATATTCAGAACTTAACTGAACAATGTCCTAGACATTAGAGGTGAGCCTGCTTTGAGCTGGACTAGAGGATCTCCAGAGGTCTCTTCTGGTCCATATGATTCCATGAATCTGTGACTGGAAATGCTGGCAATGTGCTGAGCATGTAAGTGTACCTGACCCTGAACACCTTCGTGATCAGTACTGAAGTGTTCAGTAATACTCCTGCTA